TGTCATAGGTATGTATGTAATTCGGCCAAATATTAACCTTCCTTTAGGTCGATCAATATCCGTATGAATTACACACACACTACCCAACTCGACCAATCAATGAAAGAAAAGAAGAAAAATTCAGCAACAAAAGTCAATCGAAAAAGTCAACAATCAAAGTCAACCAAAAAGTCAATGGTCAAAGTCACCTAAAAAGTCAACGGTCGGGTTCATGACCGAGCCGAGTTGGGTCAATTAGTTTGTTTCGAGTCAAGTCAATATTTTTGAGTGGGTCAACAATTTGGGTCGACTGAAAAACAAACAAAATCGAATCCTAATTCCTCTAAGAAAAATCCAAAACCCTAACTTTTGTGGACATGAAAACTAATAGATATGTTTCTTTGCAAAATTTTGGTAAAGAAACAAAGAAAAAAGGTTCCCAAAATTATGAAAGGTTGAAATCAATTAAACAAAACTGAATTACATACATAGATTCATCATATATATACATATACATACTCACATGTTTAAATCCATGCATTCCAAATAAAATTCAATCAATTATGTATATATGTACATATATATTAAAAGATAATAAACTTTTCTTCAATGATTCAACATGAATTAGGCTCGATACTAATTGATAAAATATTCTCTAAAGATGATAAACTATCATCTTAATCGAGATCACATGTTAAATCATCAAAGAGAAGAATTAAAGCAGAAGCGTACTCGAATCCATAGGAACGGACTTGGTTGCGTTTTGAGGTTCCCGATCTTTAAATTCTATACGATTTCCTTTAGAGAAAAGTTTTGTCTCTCCGTATTCTATCCGATGATGGGATGTCGGAATAGAAAACCTTACGTATGACTTGGGGACCATAACCCTATATATATAATAACCGTCTTGGGTCTAACTTCTATTTTGGCCCATCATAAAAATAAAAATTAGACTTTGGTATTTACACACATAAAGCCCAAACAACTTAAAATTTTATCAGATCATTTTAAATGGGCTAATCTATTTTATGATAGCTTATAACATAATTAACCCACACATAAATTATGTTTTTCCAACAATTAAATTATGAAGTTCAATGAATTTGGGTTATTAAAGCATAGACTATTAATGACAATAAGAAGAATAATCCATAGACTATTAATGACAACAATAAGAAAAATCCGAGATCCGAGTTTATAAATTTATGAAGACAATAAAAATTTTGAGAATTAGGAAATCAAAGGCTAGGTGTGTAACTAAATCTTTGTAAACAAGATTGACATTATAATTTTTCAAGATTTGATGGAGGATTAATGGTTTAGGAGGTCCTCTTTCTTTTTTTTCGTAATCGTATCTCTTTACTAAATTTTTTATTAATATCATCCCTCAACATTTACTTTGTATGTTAATTTCATCTCTCTCGTCTAAATTTTTAGATAATGGATTCAAATCTTGACAAGAGATGCACACGATGTTTATGCATAGTAAATTTTTTTGTTTTTTTTTTAAATTAAGTAAATAAATTTTTGAAATGAAAAATAAAAAATCCAAAATATCTCTTATATAAAAACCCCAAAATCCCTAATTTAGTTTCAATTCTCCTTAACCTAGTCGTTGTTTAATAGAGGTGAGGAGGTTTGTGGAGTTTGTTGTTCGATAATGGTGAGGAGGTTTATGGGTTTTGTCATTTGGTAATGACGAGGAGGGCTATGGAGGCTGGCATTCGACGAGTGGTGAGAAGGTATATGTGGTTTGTGTTTGACAATTGTTGGAGGTTTGTGAGAGGTTTGAGTTTGTGGTGATGGGTTGGAGAAGATGATGAGAGCATTATGGCTAATAAAGAGGAGGAGATCGAGTATAACGGTTAAGAGGGTTGGTTAAGAGGTATATGGTTTAGAAGGAGTAGTTGTTGGGGTTTGGAGGGAGAGAGAATGATAGTAGGATTTATAGCGAGCAGGTAGGTTGCTAGCGAGTGTGAGGGACAATGGTAATGATGGTGGTGGGTGAAAGGGGAGGCTTATGATAGGAGAGAATTAAAATTGAATTGAGGATTTCGAGATTTTTATATGGAGGACATTTTGGATTTTTTATTTTAGAAATTTATTTACTTAATTTTAAAAATCAAACATAAAAAAATTATCACTTTTCAACATGCTATACATCTCTCGTCGAGATTTGATGATGTCACTTAAAAATTTGGATGGAAGAACAAAATTAAGACACAAAGTAAATGCTTGAGGAATGACATTAATGAAAAATTTGATAAAAAGAACACGATTAAAACAAAAATAAGATTAGAGTGACCTCCAAAACTATTAACAAATTTGATAGATGGATAAAATTTATATACATATGCGAGAACGAAGTCAAATTATATATAACTAAAAGGATAAATGGTTTGATATATTCTTGTATAAATAATCAAGTCTTTAATATATCTTTTTATGTTTCTAATTTTTTCTTTAATATCCTTGTATAATATTTATTTCTCTAATATGCTTTTGTAAAATGTTTCTATATAAATTGACGTAATTATAATTTTTATTCTAAAAATATCCTAGAGTTATACAAGAATATAATTTTAATTTTTTGAAACAAAATTAAAAGCTTAAAATTTTAATGGTTGGGTAATTTTGAACCTTTTTATTTCTTAAACCATTTTGAGCAATTTTGAAAAATTTATATCAAATCCTCATACAACTCAAGAACAATTTTGAAATGAAAGATAATTTGAGGGAAAAACTCAAGTGAAAATATATTAGTGAATTGAATACAATACAATAATATAATAAATACAATTAGAATTGTATAAACATATAATAGCCTTGCCCAATTACATAAAGATATATTGAGCTATTCACCTTAACCAAAATAAAATAAAAAATAAAATAGTAGTTATTATTATACTTCATGTATAGACTTTACTAATCGATAGAAATGCAAAATAGTTTTGTGAACCTCATCATGGTATTAGAGCATACCAAATAAAATAGTAGTTATTATTATTACTATTCCCTAGTTTATAATGGCTGGTTAATTAAATTACCTCTAATCCACCCACTACCCAACATTTCTTCACCACCTCTAATCCATCCGCTACCCAACATTCCTTCACTATGAAACTCACACCTCGTAATTATTTGGCATGGAAGACTCAATTTCTTCCATTGTTTAACTACCAAAATCTCAATAGTTTTATTGATGGAACCTCTATTAAACCAACAAAAACTATTCCTTCCTCTTCAAACCCAAATGATACGGTTCTTAATCCAGCTTATACAACTTGGTTTCAACATGATCAATTATTACATTTATTGCTTCTTTCATCACTTACTAAAGAGATCTATCCTTATGTCATAGGATAACTTCATCCTTTTCTATTTGAAAGGCACTTGCAAGTGCTTTTGGTTTTGTATCTCCGAATTGTCAACTTTATCTAAATATTAAACTTTAAGAACTCAAGAAGAATGATATGTCAATATCTCAATATCTTCAAAGAGTTAAAGGCTTAGCTAATGAACTTACAAATGCTAGTCAACCTCTTTCACCAGCTGAGTTTAATGTGATTATTTATTGCACTATTGGAATGAATTTTCATCCTATTATCACAGTACGTATTCTCTAAACTTCATGGTTAGTCTGTTTGCATATGAAATCTTGCTTAAAAATGTGCAAGAACCACCATTAGCCAATATGGTGTATCGATAGCCATATCTTGGTTCATCTATGTCAATGCCTCAACAATCATATCAAGCATCAACAACTTCTAATGCTACTCCAAAACAACACCTTCCTCAATAATTATATGAAATCTTATCGGATTTGTGGGTATCACAATCACACTCGCCAATTCGTCTGCTATAGACATTTTGCTCCTCGCCAACCAAATTATTCGAGCACCCCGAGCCAATGCTCGCTTAGACATCTCAATCATATTAGGCTCTAAAATATTCATCATCATCCATGCCACCTCTGTTTAATGGAGCACTAATGCCAAATTCTACTATTTTTATCCAAGCACTTACTCGGTATAGTAGATGGTATCTTGATATTGGCATAACTCATAATATGACGACAGTACATGCACTCCTTCCATCAAGCTAATGAATATAAGGGTTTAGATCAAATAAATGTTGATAGTGGTTAGGAACTATCTAGATCTCATACGAGCAATGCCTTTTATCCTTCACTTAATTCTAAGAAAAAATTTCTTATTAAGGATATGCTTCATGTTCTCCAAATAACTAAACCTTTTTTTTTGTCCAACAATTTACTAATCATAATGGATGTTTCTTTGAATTTTGGGTATCTAATTTTTTGTTAAGGACCGGATGAGCAAGGAAATCCTATTGCAAGGCTAGAATATGAATGGACTTTATGAAATGCCATTAGTTAGCAAACAAGCGTTCATTAGGGAATGTAATTCTTTTGCACAATGGGATGGTCGACTTGGTCATCCTCAACATAAACTATGTTAAAAATTATTTAGCAGAATAATTGCCTATTTCGCAGCCTTCTAAGTCATTTTTTTATTTGTTCCGCATTTCATTTAGGAAAATTAGCTAGGTTTCTTTTAGTCTGTTGTTGAGCACACAAGTTAGAAACCATTTGATATTATTCATTCTAATACATGGGGACCAACACTCGTACTCGTCTAATCTTGGATATCATTATTTTGTTCTTTTTGTTGATGATTTTACTAAATTTACATGGATTTATTTCTTAAAAAATAAGAGTGATGTTTCTCGTATTTTTCTTAAGTTTGGATCTTATGTTAAGGCTACGTTTGTTGTAGGAAAAACAAGTTATCGAAACTTGTTTTTTCCATTTTCCCATGTTTGTTTGGCCATGTTGGAAAAAAGGCAAAGAAACTTATTTTTCGATCAAAGAAAATTTAAAAGGAAAACTTTGGAAACCGACTTCCCGAAAAAAAAAAAAAGGAAAATTTTTTCCATTTGATGAGCTCCGGAGCTGCTCGTCCCGTTTTCCCCAAACCCACTCATTTTATTGTTGCCTAAAGTTGACCCGAGGACGCCGTCACCACCCAACATCGTCGCATCGTCGAGCAAACAAAGCTCGTAAAAGAACGGTGATCTCGAATCGTTTCCCTCTTCTTTCCTCTCTCTACCGCCCGTCACAGTCCAAGTTGGAAGAAAACGTAGACACCTTCGCCACCGACCTCACTCGTCATCGCCTACTTTGCGGCCTCGATCAACGCTACCAATGTGGTTTTGAGGTACATTTATTTCTCTCTTTTTCTCAAACACAAGAGTTTAATTATGTAAAATCATGTAATTGGGTTGCCAAGAATCGAGATCTTAAGAAATTAAAGATTAGGCTTTGAGATTTTGAGGTTTATACTTTTCTTTTTGAATTTCTTTATGGGTTTGATTTCAAGATTTTGAGATTTTTGATTTATTGGTAAAAACAAACATATGTGGAAACAAACCTCATCATATGATCTCCTTGACATCCGAGCATGATTGTCTCTCGTATTGGAATATGAAAAGATGCATTGTTTGTTATTGAATTGGTACCCTTTTGAGATGCTCGGTTACTCAATTCCGTATTGGACTCGTGGGTTGGCATGAATGTCACTACCACTAATGTTCTTCTTTTCTTATTTCTTAAGTAGAGTACAACCACACTTAAGGATAGGTGATTGAGAGAAATGACTCGTATTTATCTTTCAATCAATCTTGCGGTCTATCTTATACCCGTTGTTGTTCTTATACCGATCGGATATGAATACTCTTATGCTATCCCCATACCGAGCTACCTTTATGTGCACGAGCCTTCCTATAATGCCTCGGCCTCTATGGCATCGGGATGCATGATTTTAGAAAATCATGTTGTACTAGTAAAATTCCAATTGATGTTCATCATTTCCCCACTCGATTAAACAATTTCATGATACATGATGTCTTAGGATTTGAACTTCGTATAACGAGTACTAGTCTAGTGTACCCACTAGTAAAACAATTTATCCGGGCTCCTTGGTGCAAAGCTAGGTACATTATGATGAATCATTATAAATTCATTATTCGTTCTCATTAGACTATGATACTCGTATTCGATCTTGGTGGCAAAAATTATCTTTGATACTTTAGGATTCCACCTTCTAATCCCCGATGATTAAATTATCTTTTTAATTGTACTTAGTTAGGTTGATTTTTTTAGAATCAATTAGCTTGTTATTGTATCAATGATTTATTGGTAAAAACAAATTTATATGGAAACAAACCTTTTAAAATATTTTAGCAAAGATTGTATAAGTCTTGGGATGTATATGATAATATGGCAACCCTTATTTATATCTAAATTTTCATACCGACTTACTCTCTAGGTCCTAAATTTGCATTTGTAATCTGAGGTCGTCCCGAATGTTATTAATGATATTGTGGGCTAACGATGGAGAGTGCAATGGCTTAGCTATAAATCTATTAATGGTATGAGTAAAACGTGGGAAGTGTGAGTTTTGAGGACCAGTTCATTAGGTTGATTTTTTTAGATGATTTGTCATGATGTCTAACATAGAGTCTTGCTAAAACTTGTTCCCGATATTTTCGTAGCAACAATCTTGCTCAAACACATTTGAGAAAGAGAGGAAAGCAAAAGAAGTTCTTCATAAGAGTCCCAATTATTAACACTATGTTCCAAAGAAAGGAAAATATGTTAGTGATATTTTATTTGCTAATGAAATTATGGTTAGATTACTAGTAATATAGTAGTGAGATAGATAGATAATTAGAAGGGAACTTTATCGGAAAGGAAACTAAGATTGTCTTTAACCATCCAAAAATAAGCATGTGATCTATTCTTTTCTTTTTCTTTTTTTTTTTTTTAACTAATGAGATAAGTTATTTCCTACTTTACTTCTAACTATAATTTCTCTTATCTATTTCTCATGATATATTATTTTTATTTTTGGAAATTTTATTTATCGACAATGCTTGCGAAAATGAGTAACATGAAGCAATAAAAAGCTAAAGCCGAACAGTTTAGGTGGACAAGACCTATGTCTCGTATGTTGCTTGAGATTTTGGTCGAGGAAGTTGTGAAAGGGAATAAACCATCTCCCACTTTCAAACAAGATAGCTTTGCACGTGTAGCAAGAGAAATCAACTTAAAATTTGGATTAGATTGTTCTCCCGATCATGCTAAAAATCATTTGAAGACAATCAAAAAAGAATGGAAGATTATCACACAACTACAGGAGAAAAATGGTTTTGAATGGAATGATGAGTTGAAAATGATTACTTGTCTCAAAACAAGTTTATGATGAAGAGATAACGGCATCATCAACCAAGTATGCTTTTTGGAAAAAGAAGCCATCGAAAAAGAGGTCGTGAAGCCGAATAATCAATTACATCTGTTTTAGTTGTGGAAGTGAGAGAAGTGGCCAAAACAATTCATGCTTTAATAAAAAAAAAGTTGATATAGATGAGCTTTATAATGTGGTGATGAAGATTAGTAATTTTGATGGTGGCATCTTGAATAATGTGTTTGATTATTTGGTGCAAAATGACGAGTTGGTAAAGGCTTTTATGGCAAGAAATGAACAACATAAGAAGCTTTGGATTGAAAATTTCATCAATGAACATGGTGGATCATCTATATGATGTGGCTTTTAATTAAATAGTCTGGATCTATTACTATTATGTGTGACTTTCCTATTATATATTTAGATTTGTAGAAGTATGGATTTGATTTTTTTGGATGTTGGATCATTGTAGCTATTTTTGTACCTATTATTATGGATGTGGGATATTTTAATTAGGGATGTTTAATTTTCTGGTGTACAAGTTGTTGTGATACATGAATGAGATTCAACTTCCGGATTATGAGTATAATTATGGATCAAATTGATAGAATGGAAAGAACTATTTATTTTATTTATCTAAACAAGTATTTCATTATAATTTTATTATATGAATTTTTTTTTATAAATAATTATGTTATATTTTTTATGATACCAACTCATGTTCCTCAACTCCACCATTGACACCACTCTTTGCTTATCCATCTAGTCAACGAAATCCAAAAAAATGTGATCAATGCTTGTATATGCAAAAGGTTTGGTCACTTGGCCAAAGATTGTCCCTATATATATATATTATGTGTGTGTGTGTGTTATGAATGTGATATCTTTTAATAATTTTTATATTATGAAATTATCAATATGCTTTCTTGAAATTCCTTTAAAACTTGTTGATATAATAATTACGAGTTTGTTTTTGTATTTTTGTTTTCCGTATCAAACAAACACTCGGAAAATGTTTTCCAGTAGTTTTTCAATTCAATTTCCAAACGCCGTAAAATATTTTTTTTGAAAAACAACTTTCCGGAAAATAGTTTCCTCGAATTGGTTTTTCTACCGGAAATTGTTTTTTGCCAACCAAACGGAGCCTAAATGACAATTTCATTGTGATATCAAGGCTTTTCATTCTAATTAGGGAGGAGAATATTAAAGTTTGCATAAATATTTTCAAAAACTTGGTATTTTACATTGTATTGCTTACCCATATACTCATTAACAAAATGATGTTTCTAAACATAAAATAAGACATATAGTTGATACTAGCTTAATTGTTTTGGATTATGCTAATATCCCTCTTCGTTTTTGGTCATATGCTTTTCAAAATGCTCGTTATGCAATAAACATTATGCTCACTTCTATTATTCATAACAAGACTATATTTGGAAATTTATAGAATGCTTAACCAAAATGCACCGATAATAAAATTTTTGATTATACAATATATCCATATTTAAGGCCATATAATATTAACAAATTTTCTTACCATAGTAAATAGTGTATCTATTTAGGAAGATCACTTAATTATCATGTTTATTTTTATCTTGATATTGAAAATGACAGAGTTTATATTGCTAGACATGTTTTATTTGATGAGAACTCGTTTTCATTTAATTTAAGATATCTAATACTTCAAGTAGGACCACTCTTATGCAAAGGAACTATAATTCTTGATCATGGCTAACAATTTTAGTCCTTACTTATTTGGTCTTACATTTAGGTATGCCTCCTTGCTCATTTCAAACTTCATCTTGTAACACCCCCAACTTAGGACCTAATAAGTTGAGAATATTATAGCCATTAACCTACATTCGAAGTTCAATGAATGCAGGCTAACAATGCACTATAACCTTTCTATAGTTGATTTAAGTGACCTTACACTGCGGAAGTTCTTTAATAACGCCTAGGTCCTATATCTAATTAAAAAGTTGTTATAAATTTTTCGTGTCTATTCGCTTTATTCATATTCATGCATTGCATTGTTGTACTCATAGCTATTTCTTATGGTGATTCTTTTCTTAATTAATTATTGCTATTTATTTAGGCATAAGTCCATTTTTATCAATATTGATTGATCGTTTGGTTTTCCTTCCTATTTCATCATGCCCTTTATCTAATACATGCTTAAGATAATTGCTTGAATTTCTAACAATACTATCATGCAGTGGATAATTTAAAGTAACTATGCTACTTCTGCTACATTACTATTTTCTTATCGGTGGTTTGATTACATACATTTGCTATTTGCATACAAGACCTATTTTATGCCAATTACTACAAAATTAGCTTATTTACTACTATGCCATTGCTACTTCTACTCTTTCGTTTGACGGTTTATAGCTTTAACTACTACATAGAAAAACATATCCATTAGTATAAAATAGATTAGAATACCTAGTACCATAAGAGCCATTGTATGTATCAAGTCCATACGCCAACCACGTCCGACATACATGCGACGAAGGCCATTTTCGATAGTCGGTTCAAACGTTAAGAACACCATATTTACTCGGATTTGCTACATCACAAGCATATTAATGAGCGATAGCTCAATAAGTTAACCAATGCATGTAATGCATGTACATGTATATGCATGTATAAAACATTGAGATATGCATAATAAATCCTTTTTCCTTATGTCATAAAACGTTTTATAAAACGAGTCTAAAAATCCTTTTTGCCTTTGGACATGTCCCATTAGGTACTTCAAGGTTTTCATAATATATGTCCGACGAACCGGACTCGTCTACGAACGCACTCTACCGAGCCTCTAAAAGTGCATGTCCGCACTTGTCCGACCCCGAACCATTACCATTATCATTTGCAAAACCGATGAAGCCCATCTTTAAACAAAATCCTCAAAAGTCATTAAAATCGTCTCCTTTAAAACAATTCCGATTGCTATTGGAAAGTTATAACATAAAATATATTTTAATGAATTAAAACATTATTTATGAGTTTTGGAATGTATATGCATTTTGAATGAAAATGTATGTTACATTAATTCATAGGTGCATGCCTTAAATGGTCATGTAGTCATGTCGTAGGAATATGTATAAAAGTAGGCGAGCATAACGGCATAGATAACATTACCCCATATAAATCATTTCAACCATCACATACCATACTATGACCATTTGCACAACATAATATCATCATCACTCCTATTACATCATACATCATACGCCGCATTCACATATCATATACTTTAAAACATAAATCCAAAAACACAATTGCACATACATTTACATAATACACTTAAAGTTTCACGTTTTCCTTTTTAGGCTAAATTTCACCTTATTGGTACCTACCCATTTTCCATTTATTTCAACCTCCACTTTGAACTAATTATAATCTAACTTAATCAAGCTAATTTAATTAAATATTATTTAATTGAGTATGTGTATTATTTTCCTATTAGGCCTTATTGGGCCCAAATTTTCAACTTCTCCATTTTGGACTAATTTCTTGATTTCTACTAAACTTTTGCATCTTTGTCAATCTTATTATCATACTCTAAACCAAAATTTATCAATTTAGGGCTTAAAATCCAATTAAAACTCAAACCTAATTTTCTTCTCTATTAGGCCGAATGTTCTCCCATTTCAAATCCTAAGATTTTCTTCTCATTTCATCCTACCATTTTAATACTAGGTGGCCTAAACATACATTAACAATGAGAATCAATTTAATTAACATTTAGGGCATAAATTTTATGCCAAAACCCGTATTGGGCCTTAATGGGCCCAAATTGGGCCTAAGCCCATATAATCAAATTTCATGAAATTTTTCATTCCTACACATCAAAACATGCTTATTAAAATATAAATCAATCACCAAACCACAAATTAAATTCTTTGAACTCAAACCCTAAAATTCTCAAATTAAGATGAATATAATCTCCCTAAATTAATAATTTTTTCTTCAATTAAAGTGTATTTTTTTCATCACAAATCACTAATTCATGCCTAAATAAGTCAGAATTAAGTGTCAAAACATTAATTATATGAAAAACACTAAAAACCCCAAATCAAAAGTTTAGACCGAATAAGGTACCTTGAATAACCCTAGGAATTTTTAAGTTTTAAACTTAAATTTCAAGCCTAATCAACCTATTTCCATCTCAATTTTATGAATTATAAGATTAAAATCATTTCCTACAAATCTGATTCATCAAGAACCCTAACCCTAATTTTTCTTCAATTAAGCAATTAAACATAAAATTGACTTTAAATAATCATGCTTGTGATGTAGGTGAGGTTAAATTACTTGTTTAAGCTCCAATTGAACCTTAAAAAGCTAGGTTGTTGGAGAATTTCTCTTCCTCCCTTTTTCCTCTAAATTTTGGATTTTGATCTTCGAATTTTTCCCTTGAGAATTTCAGCTTCCCACTAGAAATTTAGGTTCTCTCTACTCGATTAGAAGTGCTTAAAAATTATTGGAAATATTTTGGTTTATTTTTAGGTGGAAATTTTACAAGAGTTTAGTTTGTGTTTTTCTCTCGTTCTTCGTATTTTTTATTTTTTCAGAAATGATATTTATATGGAGATTTTTTAGACCTATTGACCTAATCTCCACCTTAATTTGTGAATCTTAGCCCTTGATTCATTTTTCAATTATTTATTTTCATTTGTCCCAATTCTTGACCATTTATTCATGGTTTAATTTAACACCTCCACTTTGCTTGTTGATGGTCATAATTTTTACTGTAATTCATCCTTAAATTAATTCCCTAAGTTGGTAAAAATTGGGAGGAAAATAACAAGTTTTGGTCTTGCAAGTTGCTAAGA